TTTATATTATATATAATTGATTATTTAAAATTATCAATATGATGAATTTTTTATAATTGATTATACTAAATAACGACTTCAAGAAGTTCATTACTTAATAACTATTATACGACTTGTATCACGGTGTTAATGAAATACCTAATAATAAAATATGATATATTTAATTAAATATGTGCCGGCTAAAAAAATTGGAAGAATCTTTACTTTAAGAAGTTCGTTACACATTCTAACATATTATTTATGTATGATCATATGCGTCAAATACTTAATGATAAATATAATGTTGAATAAAAATATGTCCATTAAAGCTACACGAATTCAAATATGAAGCTTTAATAAATTGTACTTACACACAATATACTTGTAATATTGAATTTAAAAGTAATATGCATTAATAAACAGTATTTTATGTATAAAACACGATTTTTAAGAGTATTTATTAAATATTTTATAATATGGTATAAGTAATTATTTTATCAATTAATTAACAACTATTTTTTTTAACATTACATTTAAAATTCTTCAGGATACGTGAATAATAATTAGTTTGCTATAAAACATACATAAAATTAACTTTTATATTATAATAAAATAAATATTCCATTTTTCTCTTATAAAATTTTCACTTAAATTCATTTATTTTGATACAAATTAAATAGAGATGATAATGAATATATTTATTTTATAATTTATTTATTTTTAACAAATATTTTAAATTTTGAATCTTAATCAAAGCGCCTGTCCGTTCCAGCTATATTCGAAATTAAATATTGTAATTTATTTTGAAACAAAAATAACGTAATATTTTTTTTCTTGAATATCTATCATTTTATTTATTTGTAATAGTTTATTATATTATACATAAAATAATTAAGTTTTGAGATTAAAAAAGATATTGAGATCATTGACATGATGCACGACTTATTATTATATTTTTTTTTTATTTTTTTTATTTGATCAGGGTGCATGTGCATTTAAGGATAGAGGTGGAGCCATGATTTCTAATTAGGGAAACATTGACATAAATAAATAAAAATCAACTAAAGGGTGATGCTTGATTGATTTGAGTTTGATTTTAAAGATTAAAAATATCAGGAAGTCTCAGGTTCAAATCTAATGAGAAATAAAAATCTCATTGTGGTCACGGAGGTTCAAATGCGATGATTCCGGGTTATCTGCAAAGCATGTGGTTGCCCTGAGATTAGTCGGCTTGCATAGCGGGTTGGATATCCAGGTTAATAAAAAAAAACAAAGATAAATAAAAATTGATATTAATGTTTTTAAAATGAAAAATTAAACTGACCAAAATCAAAATTATGTACGAGTAAGCCTGGTCCTGAGGTTTTTCATGTTTTGTACGAGAAGATAAAATAATGTTTCCACTATTTAAAAACTATAAATGAAACATACTAATTTTTAAAGGGTTTGGAACCTGATCAAACTAGACATCTTATACCTAAGCCAATTATTGTTATTGTTATTGTTATTGAATGATAATTTAGTTTTTTTGTAATGCATATCTTATGATTATATAATATTATAATTTAATATCAAGTTAAATTGAACTTTGGAAAATTGCATATAATGATAGTTGTGTTCAAACTAATTGTATACGATCATATAAAGATGTTTAATTTGTCTTAAAACTTAGGAAAACTTAATACTATACGTGTATCATATTTTTAAATATCTAAACATCTTTGAGTAGCGAGTGTTATATAATTTCAACAACCTTATACAGTCATAGACAACAAACCGCATTATACATGATAACAAAATTGGAATTACGAGATTCAACATCGAATCAAGAAATATACTCCAAAAGTGTGTTTTAATGGTGGGTTAAATTACCTAAGGCCTTTATTTTTATGTTTTATAGATATGTTGGAGATGATCTTAAATATTAAAATTCAGATTAATATGTGAAATTTTGTTCTTTATTAAATTAGGTGCGTCAATGATCCTAAGTCAAAACCTGATAAAAGGAAAAGAAATGTGTTAGCCAAACATTTATTGATCCCAACCCCTACCAACAAAAATATACAAGAAAATTTGATTAAAATAGTCAATCTCTCAAACTAAGGGGCTGTTTACCTAAATACTTACACGGTAAACACTTACCGGTAAATTTCAACATCATCGCTTACTTATCAGACAAGATTTTATTCACTAAAACACATCGTATGCAACAATTTATCCCGGTAAGTGCCAACCATGGTAAAGGTCACCGTCTTCACTTACTGGGTAAGACTTGAGATTCTTATCTTCGCTCTTACTGGGTAAAATTCTTAGTCCTTGTCATATTCATCCGGTAAAGTAAAGTGATTTGGTAAGCGCTTACCCGGGTAAACATTTGGTAAACGACACCTAAGTTCAGGTTTTAGTATTTTTTTCAATTAAAATTTTATTTTAATTAAAGCTAATACAAATGATGTTTTCTATTAAAAAAAGGAAAAAAATACGTAAATTTGAAAAAAAAAATTACGTAAATATATATTTTCTGTTACATTTGAAAATTGGTTGTGTACAAATATTTTATATATTCACATAAATTATTTTTTTCCATTTAACAAAAACATATAAAATAGAAATAATTTAAAAATGGGGTATTGACGGTGATTGAGATCCACGCGCACCACATGCCACGCTCTTGTATCATCTTAGGCCTGACGTAAGTTGGTATGACGTCAGTTTTTCCTATAATTATATTATTTAATCTAATTAATTTTAAAAGATTCATATAAAATGTTTTTTTTTTACTTAATCTAGAAAAAGTGACATTGTCCGTCGCACCGTCCAATTTTCTTGTTGATATCTTCTACCGTCTTAAAATAAATGTTTAAAATGAAAAAAAAAAAAAACATATAATTTAAAAAAGTTATTATTATAATTTTAATAAATTGAACGTCAGCAGAGAAAATAATTAATTTTTCCATTTCATAATGAAGAGCATAATAAAAAAATAATTATTTACTTTTCAAAAGTGGACACTTAATTTATAATAAATTAAAATTGTGTAAAACAATACCTTAAACCAAAAGTATTTAAGAATTTAAAAAAAGTTGGAGTTCTCAAATGATTAAACCTAATAAAACTATGACCCCTGGTCCTTCATGTAACTATAATCATTAATCAATGTAATTAATAGTTAAGTCTCAAATTTTGGAATTCTTAAATAATTAAAGCTCAAAGTTTGTAATTCTCAAATGAATGCATTTGTGGTTGTTGGGTTTATAACAACAATGATTTACTGGTCTCGGTGATTAAGGGCTTGGATAGAGCTTCTAGTATTGGCTTAATTATCTTAAAACTCAGGGACGTTCTAATCTTTTTGGTGACTACATTACTTCAAATCTTTTTTTTTTAATTAACCTGAATATCCAACCCGTTATGCGATCCGATTAATCCCAGGGCAACCACCTGCTTTGCAGATAGCCTGGAGTCACCGCATTTGAACCTCCATGGCCAAAAGAGGATTTTTATTCCTCCTTGGATTTGA